CTGACCTTATCAGATATAAAAGTTACATTTCTTGTTATATAGGTCTTGCTTTATCTTGGTCTTAACCATCCAGCAGAAAAGTATAAAAACGAGGTATATAAAGTAAAGCCATATTAATACAATGAGCTGTAAAAGGCTCAAGTCAATAACTTCTGAGGGTAACCCACTAATATTGTAGACTGCTAGACGGTTGGATTATTTAGCTGAATTCAAAAACCTATAGTATTTAGATGCCAATAGAATATCCACCTTTGACAGGACTAAACAAAAGGGGATACAAAGGAAAGATCATTTTGTATTTATATATACAAAATAGGGTAAATGTTACAGCTACTTTTGCTTAAGTCATTGAGAAGAAAGAGGTGTACTAATAGTGTTGGGACGGGATATCCTGTCTGCTTCTTATACTATGGATAACCACTAAGAATATAACAATGTACAATGTATTGATTATCAAAACTGTCCTATTAATCAGTTTTGAAACTGTCTCATTCATATTTGTTTCTCAATAAAATTGAAATAAAAAATAAAAATAGGGCTGGGGAAATGGCTCAGTAGAATGAGCACTTCCCTGGCAAGTGCAAGGGCCTGAGTTCAATCCCCGGTTCCGCAAAAAAAGATAAAAATAAAGATAATGTCTTGCCCAGGGGAATAGCTCAGTGTCATAAGCACCTGCTTGGTAAGTGCAAGGTCCTGGGTTCAATCCTCAGTACCAATAAATAAATTAATTAATAATTTGGGGCCGGGGAGATGGCTCAGTGGAATAAATACTTCCCTGGCAAGTGCAAGGGTCTGAGTTCAATCCCAAAATTAAAAATTAAAAATAATGCCTTACCTCCTATATGTGAAATTACCCTTACAAATGAATCAGCTGGGTTAAAAAAATAAATAAAATAAAACACTCCAACATGCTCAGTCCTGTTGGACACTCAATCACATGTCTCTTCTGCTGGGAATGCTTTCATAATTTTACTGCCTTTTTTCTTACCTGTTTTACCTACCATTTCTTTCTGTACCAGAGTTGTTGAGTCGTGATTGTGGCACCATATGTGAAAACATGATTCAGGTTGCTCAGAATTGTGGTTTCTTGTTACAGAGCCTCCTAATAGTTCAGTGACCATGGGTAAACTGCCTGTCCTTTGAGTCTTCCTTCACCATAGTAGTGTCAGTGGAGCTCTGTAAAGTAACTAAAACTGTTTGAAAGCACCAAATTCTAAAGTTGGCCTGAAAATATCACACGCAAAAACACTTTGATAGTTTGTATTCCATTTTATCCAAATGCAGTGTGGTACAGACTGCTGTCACTGCATTTTAGCCTCATAGAACCTTGAGTCCCACCTTGAAAGTGACTTTACAATGTAAAACATGGCTAATTTAACCTGAGTTCTCTGTATGTATGGTTGTATACTGGTTTTTATTCTGGTCCTTTGATCTAGGGACTCACTATTTAGTCCTGTTTGGATTTAAACTCACTATGTAGCTTCAGCTGCCCTTACACTTGGAATGATCTTCCTGTCTCA